TGGACTTGGTGATCCTTGAGGCCTTTTCCTTAATGATTCTGTGATTCTAAAAAAGGCTCAACACCCCCAGAGATGTTCGAAACAGTCCTTGACTCCCTATTCTGGTCTGTCAGAAAGGGACAAGGAGGGTGTTAGATGACAGTTTTTCTAGCTCCTACAGCTGAACACTTCAGAAAAAAATTCTTCTTAAGCATCTGTGTGCTTTTAAGAGTTGAAAAAAACCCAAACCGAATAAACCACATAAACGCACATGTCAACAAAATTCAGAAACCCTATAACGCTGCAACACAGTTTAAAAGAACAGCAATTGAAAAGAAACCCAACAGCCCCGTATGGCAACTGCCACAAGGGAGAGCAAATGAATAAAAATCCCCCATGTGATGAAATAAGACATTTCAAGTTTAGAACACACATGCTACGCATCCAAACTGTTCAACATCAGCGTGGCATGTCTAGCCCAGGCTACGTCCCAACAATAAAGGCATTAAATTCAACACAACCCTACAGAGTTCCTGTTAATTCTTGCGATGGATAATTAACGTCCACTCAGGCCCTTGCCTTTTTTTTCCCCCTATCACTTTTAAGATCAAAGTTATTTTTTAATTTAAGGTCGGCTTATTGTTTCCAAACAGTTCAGGCGATAGGGCAGGGATGATCTTTGGTTACACAAAGAGCGACAGTGTCCAACCTTGAATGGAGCCTTTCAGTGCCATCCCACATTGAACAGCCTCTAACACAGATGGCCAAGCTTCTCCAGTCTGGCACCAACAGGCAACCAGTTTCCCCCAGTTTCTCTCCACACCTTTTAGCACAACCAAATACCAGCTCTCGCAGCTAATGCTTAAACATCGCGGAAGTAGTGCCAGAATGACAGCTGATGATCAGATGTGAGCATTGTCTAAAAACTGCAAACCCCTTCGCCTAGTGCGTGACACTAGCAAGGCAGGAGAACATTTAATTTCACAAGGGGGCTGACCAAGAATGGTAATAAACAGATCATCTTCAGGGAGTAAATCTGACTCTCACTTAAAGCCCCTGTGGTCACAAGCAGGTGTAAATTACTCTGTTACATGTAAGTACAAAATGGCCTTGCAAGTAGGAGCCGATTTTCTCTGCGTACAATATCACGAGCCTCAAACTTTGACAACATACAGCTCAGATCCAGGAGTAAGCTAATTTTGTTTTATTTCTAAACACTAAGATACTTAAGTTCCTAATTCCCTTGATCAATCAGCTAGATAATTCAAAACCAGCCTCTGAATTTTATTATAACCAGGGGTACCCACCTCCAACAAAACGCTCCCACTTAATTAGAAGCAGCAACAGATTATTTCCACCACATAGATCAGCGCCACCCTAGAGGGCCATCGTTAGACAAAGCTGCAGATCTAGGGTATGCCATACCCCAGATTACACTCTACACTGGTACTGTTTGTGTTCCACTAAATTATTTTATTACGAATGACCCAAACCAGAAAAGCTATTGGTTTTCATCCCTGCCAGAAATTTGGCAAGTTAAGAAAAAAATGTATCCAAACCTGCTTCTGTCTGGCTTGATTTACATTTAGGTGGGAAAGTGTTTCTAAATTTAAATAACCTTTGTTGTTACTATCATTCACAAATGGGGAAACTTTCATCTGGATCAAAAAAGGAGGACAACTTCAATCATTCATTACCTCCATGCTGCCAACATCACAAATTAGGTCAACTGTAAATACATCACCTTTTTTTTTAATTAAGACTATACATCCTCAACCAACCTAATTATTCTTAGACAGCAGGAGGCACTTTACTATTGCATAGTTAACTGTTTTTAGTAAATTTTAATTTAGCTTAATATTACAAAAAATAGATTAATTTAATGGATTTTGCTTGAATATCTCCTGCCCTATTTGTTAAGTTGCACTGGAGCCTGTGGTCTGCTCCTTTTCTGACAGAGACCTCTAAAAGAGCTTTTGCAACTCAGAAGTGAAGCATTTTGTTTCTCCGTATAGAAACGCACTCAAACTAGGCAGCAGACTTACCTAGGCAAAATGATTTTCTCTTCTGCTGTTAAGAAGGCATAATCATTAAAGGTGCTAAACTTCATGGATGGTGGGTACTTGAAAGGTTTTGCCCCAAAGTTGAACTCGCATTGTTGGTATGACATGAAACTAGCTGCAGCAAAAAAGCCCGATCTGCAACATGATGAACAACAGGCATTTTAAAATGACTGTAAACAATAATAGTGCTTTCCACACATGTTATTACCATTCCCAGACAAAAATATACCCTGGAACAAAGAGTCAAGTTCCTTCAATAGAAGTGTTCTACAGCTAATTTGGAGAAAAGCCTCTAACACATCCAGTTTCAGCTGCACGTACTTTCCTTGTTTAGTTCTCAACTTCTGAATTTACTGTCAGGGTTTATCTGGATTTACTCCCGAGTCAGCCAGTAAGGGCTGCTTACTCCACAACTGGGATTAGTCACACTTGCACTAAGAGCAGACACACACATCCCAACAGCCTGCAGCCTGATCCTCTTTACACCGATCAGCTCCAATATCTCCTTCGGCACCGGAAAAAGTATCTTCCTTCCAAACAACTGCTGTTTAGTAGAGCTGTGAGGAGCAGTACCGCCTGCAAGGGACACCTCCACGTCCACCGCTGCTGCTGCTGCTTTATTTGAGCAGGCACAAATCTGGAGAACTTGCAACTCTTGGACACTTGTCATGTGGGACCTGAGCAGGATGAATCCAGGTCTGAGCTCCCTTAGCACAACGCCCATCTGTTCCTTCTTGCCCTTGCAGAATTACTGCAGGACAGCTGTCTTTTCTTCGCAGCCACCTTGTAAAAGCACCACAACTATCCCCTTTTGGTTTTATTTACTGAAGGGGCCCCCAGTTGACTAATACCCCAAGTTCTAACCAAGCAACAAGATTTGTTGAGTATACTAGAGACATACTCCACGTGAAGAATGGAGTACTGCAAGCTGAACAGACAAGATATTCTGCAACACTTTGAACTGAACTAACGTTTTGCTTGCATCTTGAACTTCATTTTGAGGAGAAAATATGAATGAAGTTACTAGCACAGTACTATTCATTTACAAAGTACTGTCATGTTTAATTAAACTGCGTAACTTCTCTCTCAAGTACCACAGCAGCTTATCTTTTCAGAACTAAAAGGCTGAACTTCTCCACGAGAGTCGGAGGAACTAGCCACGTGTTAATTTTAACAGAGTTGGCAAAATAAGCCCAACGCCTTTCTGTAACGCTACCCAGAGACATCTTTCCGTGAATACTCCATACACTCCTACGGGAACTGGCCCCACTGAACAGCAGCGAGTTCATACGCACTCTTCAGCATTTAGAGGACTGAGGCTTTATTTTTCAAAAGACCAAAAAAAATCCTCAAGCACTACTAGAAGTTTGTTCGTCTTTGCTACAGCCTCGTTCTATTTCAATGCTGTGCTAGCCTGAGAGTAGAAAACATCCAGTTGAACCTACCTTTGGAAGGGCCAAAGTATTTCTTTTGGACCCTGAAATCCACCAGTAAAATTATATCCTTCTCACTGATTTCTAAGAAACTTTCAGTTGGGAAACCTGCTTAATGATGGCTGCAGGTAAGCAAATATGAATTTACATCTCTAAGGGGAAACACTTCATATAATTAAAATAATTCCCCATACAGGTCACTGTCCTGCCAAATGACCACATACTTACACAGCAGATGAAAATACTTGCTTTGAAGCTGGTTTCCATTTAAATAGAAGATCATTTGCTTTTCTTGCAAGTCTAGTAGAAATCCTATTGTGTCTCCTTACATGCAAAACAAAGATAATTAAGAGTAGTGAAATCTTTTAAATCCTAACAGCTGAAACAGTTATTGTTTTAAGTATCATATATCTCATTATGAGTTTTCTCACTTAAAAGGAAGTGTTTGCAAAAGCATAAAAGAAGAAATACTGATACAGATAGTAACTAAAGAAAAAAAGACAGGACAGATAGGAACTAAAGAAAAAAAAACCAGGACAAAATAGTAAAAAAAAAAAAAAAAATTTAGTCTGCCAAAGCATTAATACCACATAGTTGCAGAAGTATTGCAGAGTATTTGCTAAACTTGGAAAAAAGCTGCACTCTGTCTCTCCTTGGCTATTTTACACCCATTGAAGACACCCTCAGAACACATACTTGCTAAAGTTTAAGTTTCTAATATACTCGTGCATATGCGTATTTTATAAGAGACATTTTAATTAGCCATCCTTAGGAGCAACTTCCAATAGAAGAGAAGGCGGCACAGTTCCCACAAGCGTGGCGTGCACAGACTCCTACCAAGATTTCAAAGCTGAGACGAACAGAATTTTGCTGTCCAAGGACTTATCCAAGAATTTAAAGGAAGCAAGACAGTGAAAGTACTCCTTAACCTTGATCTCTAACTTAGACAGGTTTTTTCCCCTACTTCTCCAAAATAACTCTTTCAACCCAGAAAGGAACATTTCAACCCTGCTTGTAGGCCTACAAACATCTAAGCAAAAGTTTTATGATTAGTTGGTGCTGTGATTTGTAGTCTGCCTATGAAAAAAAAAAGCATTTGACTAACAAGATTATCTTGTGGAACAAGAGCGTGGTGCCTGCTTTGTACATGTAAGCCACTACAAACACTAGTAAAAGCACAATAATTATTAAACCTTTAGTGCCATCAGGATCAGGCAGTAACTCTGTTCACACCTACTAAAAAACTGTTTTCTAGATAACCGGAAAAGCAAAAAAAAAATCTTGTGCAGAAACCCTGTGAGGATAACCAGCAGAAGATGGCCTGAATACCTTCTTTCCAACAGGGGTGGGAATGTGGTTTACTTCTGGCATTGTACCAAATCAGCTGCCGGCAGCCATCGTACGCACAGGAGTATTCATCGTCCCCGATGCCGTAACCTTCCTTTAGAAAGGGAGTAAAGCATTTCAGTCCGCAGCCGTTCCTCGCGCAGAAGGGCTAAAGTTTATTTTGATTTAACAAAACAATTCAGCCAAGAGCAGGAGGAGTTTCTCCCACCCCCATGAAGATAATTTTTTCCACACTAGACTTAGTTTCATTTTAACATCAAAAGGAATTTGTTGGGATGAGGAGGGGGGAAGAAAGGGATATTACAGGCTGCCCAGGGCAGTGGTGGAGTCACCATCCCTGAAGGGGTTCAAGAAACGTGTCAATGTGATGCTTCAGGACATGGGTTAGTGGGTTGGGTGGTGTTGGGTTGACGGTTGGACTTGATGATCCTTGAGGCCTTTTCCACCCTTAATGATTCTAGGATTCTATACTGTCTCAAAAATATTCTCCATTCCCTGTGAGCTCAAATCACTCCTATTAAAATACTTAAAAATCAGAAGGCTAGTACCCAAATAGCTATCTTTTTGATAAATGTATTTAAAAACTCAACATAGAAGTGTAATCACCCTCTTATCTTGAAGTCCCAGTACTGGACTCGTCACACTTTCCCCCACCAGATATCCAAGTGCCACCAGAACACACAGAACACAGGAAGAGAACAAACCCACAGACCCTTCACTGAATTTGTTGCATTTTGTTGTCCCTTTCAGTGCCAGCCTCCCTCCGTTTGCTAAAAGGTTATCAAGCAACAGTCCCAAATACAAAACTAAAAGTTTTGGAGTGGAAGCAACATCTGTCACGTAGGAGAGCCCAAACATGAAACCCAAAGGCATCATGGAAGATAACTTCCTCGTGCTCGGCGTGGTTTGTCTGGAGTGTAAATGCTAGACAGCGGCTGATTACACAAGCCTCTGCTGCCCCACATCAAAGCTAAGCCCAGCTAATGGGTGCCTAATGTCACATTTCAGACTAGTCTTTTTGTTGCACATGCTGTAAATAAAGAGCACACGGCTACTCTTATGACTGTTTGTGACATGCCCAGAAGATAATATCCTTGGATTCCAGGCAGACACCTGATGAACTCAAACAACAGCAGCGTTTAGCCACCAGGAAACAGTTGTAGCCTCAGAAAAATCATCCTGCTCAGAGACGTGACATCTCTGATTTTCATACATCATACAGGAAGCGCAGACAGAAAAATGCACATACACCAAGCTCCTTAGCAGTAAGTGGGAAAAATCTTTTAAGCCTCTTAGCAGTCTAAAGGCAGACACACAGCCCTTTATTTCAGACAGTTTCCATTACACTCCATGTCTACAATGCCTGTGCTCAGGACCGGTCTGTACGGTATTTTTGTTTGGTTGTGGCTTTTTTTTTTTGTTTGTTTTGGGTTTTTGATTGCGGTGGTTTTTAAAAGTTTTTATTTAAATCACACTCGCAATTCCATGCTACAAATGTGGGACTGGACTTTGGGTGTCATGTAGAGATATATGCATGTTATACACCAGCAGAGGACCGTGCTATTTACATGAATACTTAGAAGAAATGCAGCAAGACCACTAAACTCACAGGAAGGCTTGAGTTAAACAGTGTGAAAAGCTACTCTCCCACTCCTGTTTCTTGCCAAGTGTGTGCGTGTCTATTTCATCTCTAGGATGTATTTCTCTCATACGCCTCACCTTCAATATTTACTTACATGTATGTATCTGGCCTATCGTCATACTAGCTTCTGCATCTGACTCAGCTGTAGAATGACTTTTTCTATAATAATCAGAAATGAGCAGTTTTAACTGCTTATCTCTACATTAAATATATATATATATATAAAATTCTTATCTTAAAATAAATTCCAAGTAGGAACAGAAAGCCATGTGATTACAACAATAAAGAAGGGCCACAGGCACATTTCTTACTCAAGCTCAGGGAGCAGAGGTGTCAAAATCCCAGCGCTGGGTTTTCGCTCTTCCCAGCGGCGGCAGGCTGGGCCATACACACCTTCTGTACCAACATTCCAGCCTGCGCTTCAATGGAAGTTTGCAAGGCTGATAGTACAGAAAGCCCTCTCAACGCTGAAGCAGACAAGTTTTCTGGATAGTAATCATTATGCTTTCTAAATATTATGGAAATAGTGAAGCAAATTATGTGACAGCATAGCGAGTTTACTACAGCCAGGTTACCATTAAGATTTAAGAAAGAAGTCCTAGTTAGATCTCTGCTACCATCTGAGATTATTCTTTGGCTATAGGTTTGGATTCATGTGCACATAGCACATTTTGCTTTAATGCTAGTAAGTACTTAATTTTAAAAGTGAAATAGTAGGAAGACTACTTAGAATACGATATTAAGTTATCTGGATGAGAGGGAGAGCAAAGCAAACTAAGACAGCATACTTACTCTATATTATCAGAATAAAGGTAAAAGGCAATTCTTATTTTTAATTTAAAAGCAACTGTCACATACCCAAACCATACCATATTGCTACTGCCAGCAGATCCAATGACACCATGCTATCGCAGAGGCAATTAAAATCATTATTTCCATTGTGAAAGTTAATTTAATAGGAAAGTACGTTAAACAGGCTAATCAAGTGGCTGCTTGGTGACCTGGTGTCCTGGGTTCAGCTGAGACAGAGTTAACTTTCTTCACAATAGCGAGCAAGAGGCTGTGTTTGGGATTTGTGCTCAGAAGAAAGCTGATAACAGTGATGTTTATGCGGCTGCCAAGGTCTTTCAGCTTCTCTGGCTGTCTGCAAACAGGAGAAGCTGGGAGGGAGCACAGCCCCAGTTACCAGCCCAGGATTTGATCTTAGGTTCAAGATCGAGACCCAGAGTGGCCAATAATCTATTCCATAACATACACATCATGCCCAGTATAGAGGTGAGGACCCTCCAGTCCAGTCAGCTCTCGGTCTGGGACGCTCGGACTGTTCTCTCCGTTCCGTGAGTGCGGTTTCGGGACCCTCCCTGCTCCCGGATCGTTAGCCGGGAACAGGCTGAGCCTTGGTCATCAGGTGGGGGGGCAGTGTCACTGTATGTCACTCATTCGTATATTTGTATACAGGATTATTTTCAATATTATTGTAGTTTGGTTATTAAATTGTTCTTATCTCAACCCACAAGTCCTTTTTTCCCTTTACCCCTTTAATTCTCTCCCCTATCCTCAGGTGTGTGTGGGGGGGGAATTGGGTGAGTGGGTGTGTGGTTTGGCCCCCAGCCAAGGGCAAACCCATCACACCTGGGTAAAAGTCAGTGCATGATAATCTGACAGTTTCTACTGAGTAACTGTTTACTTCCAAAACCAGCAGACAGTAACTAAGCTAAAGAATTTCCAAGAAGGGACTAAGCCACACGAAATAAGAAATAATTTCCCTTTAACTCCCAGACAACAGCAAAGAGCTGACAAGCTGTTGCTGCAGGCAGCTCTGCATGACTTTTGTGAGCAGTGCCAGCCTGCAGCAATGACAATACAGCCTTTGCTTGTACCGCTAAATTCAGCAAAAAGAGCTTCACAAAAATACAGGAAGATTGAGGGAAACACACAAGTGGCTCAGTTACTACCCCAGAATAACCAGAGCTATTTTCCTAGGTGTTGTAAGTAGAAAAATCCTGCAGTGACATCATCGGCTAGATGACATGACATGTACTCACATGATTGAGAAATTTGCTGTCTTTGGTAGCCCATCCTATCTGCATCACTCCTGAAGTAATGACTGTCACTTCATAGTACCAAACTCCAGAATCAACACAGAACGTACATCTAACGCTTTCAAAGGATGAGGCATCACAGCGAGCCTACCAAAAATCAAACAAAAAAATTAAATTTCTACAAAATTAGCATTCAAACAATCCCCTTTCTTCTCTGGATCAGGTTTCTCGCATATAAGAATACACCAATATAATTTTAGTGGTACTTCAGACAGAAAGCGACCTCTCTTTATAGCAATAATTGTCACACAAACTAGTGAGCAGGCAAGAGTGAAAATTGTTCAGTGGTAAGCCACAGGAAAGAGAAAAAAAAAAAGGCAGAAAGTTGACAGAGTCAATTTGAAGATATAAAGACTAAGACAACCAAGACAGGAAGACATAAGTCATTGGTTGTTAGTTGACTCCTGGTATGAAGGACAGAGAGGTATTCAATGTTACTTCATGAAAATTCTTCTGGAATTAGACAAGTTTTAAAGAAAAAGTGAGAGGAAGAAAAAAGAAACAACCACATGGCCAAGACAAAAAAATCCTACTGCTATGGGCTTTTCAAACCAGGACAGGACAAACAACAGGTATTACACTTTGTGAACAATTTCAGTCAAAAGGAGTGAAAAGCCAGCTGACTCTTAAGCATTGTCCTCATTTTCGGAAGTTTTGGGGCACTGATAGAGGTGCCACTTTAGTGTGAATATTTCTGCAACTGAGACCAGTGTAGCAATGTTCCAACCCTCTGACAAGGCAAGTTTTCTAAAAAAAACTGACAGAGAGCTTTGATTCATTCTAGGAGGTCCCAGAAGCAAACAAAAATAGTTAAAACCTGCCTGTTTCTTCAGCCTGTTTTAGGTTGAAACCACAAAGTAGTATCTTACCTCTAAGCCATGTGGCGAGATCTTCAGGTATTCGCTGACGTCATTACTGTTCAGCATGGCCCTGATGTTGGTCAAGTCAACCTTCTCGTATGTAAACTGCCTGCCTTCTTTTAAAACTGCAAAATAAAACTAGTTTCAATCCCTGAAGCAGTAAAAATTTTAAACATTTCACACAGCAGCAATCAATCTCTCTCCAGGATCCAGTTAATTTTTGGCATAACTGAATGAAATATTGACATTCTGCCTGCGTGAAAACAACATCGCTTCCGGTACACTGTGTGTTAAATATCCTCCTAACATCAGAACATGACCTACACCTCTGAGTAGAGCTCCTACAAGCTAATTACTACTTTCAGCAAAGCTATAGGCACATGTAAGGCATCCGAGTTCATACCACTGCTTCGGGATTTACCATTGTATTTGTATATTCAGTTGGGCGGAGGTCTTCTGATTCATCACAGTGGAAAAGATTTTGGGTACGGGAAGTAGAAGAAGGGGGAAACAAGGGTTTAAAGTTTTTTACCCTCTTATTTTCAGTTAGGTGAAGAACTTGAACCGAGCCAAAGCAGCTCTTTCTCCCAGCATCCCCGTTTCGCGTGGAAGGATGAGAAGCATTTATCTTGCCAGGTGCCAGATGGCTGAGGCATGGGGATTTACAAACCGGAGATCTTACCTTAGGACCCTTCATCTATCCCAAACTCGCTACAACACTCACACAGAAGTTTACTAAACACAACTGACATTGGCCTTCCATAAGCTGGGTAAAGCTCCATAAAGCCCACCAAGACCTTTTACCCAAAAGGCATTAGAAAGCAACGGTCCTTAGAGTTGCCACACCCTTGAAATCACAACTAAACAAGTGAATTTGGTTGTCAGTCATCCAAAAGGACAGATCTAGTAAACTGCTCAGTCAAAGACTTTTCACTTTTGATCACAAAACCGTATCTCTAAGAAGTCTTTAATAATTCTTTGAGCCTGTGCACTGCTGGGGTATGATCCCAGTAGTGAAGGTCACCAGGGTATGTCAGGAATCCAGCTGCTCCACAGAGACAGAGCTGCACTATTCAGCTACTCGCAGGTCTGCTGAGTGTGGGTTACAGGAAATACAGTGCAGAGAAGAATTTTCATCGCAGCTCCAACTTGCAGAGTACAAACCACTTCCTTTTACAAACAGTTTTCTTGCCAAAATTTCCCTTCCATGCGATTACACTGTATTTATTTGCCCTTTTTTTTTTTTTTGAAGGAGAGTGATTACAAATGCAGTCAGGTATATTTACAATAAGTGCTTATACAAAACAAACACAAAGTAGTCCTCCATCTCTTTGAAGAAATGATGAATATTAAATTAATCTATCCCTTCGTTATACCTACACAGATTGTCTAAACTCCACTGGGCACAGAATCCAACCTGGCGTTTTAAATAGTCTGTATTATCTGTCCATTTCTCCAGCAAGATCAGCTGGTCACTAATGCACGATTCAGAAACTGTCATTTTATTTTCACCTGCAATTTAAGAGCAAAAAAAAAAAAAAGAAAAAAAAGAACAACTGCTATAAACTAGGGATAAGTTTAGTTAAAATAGTAACATTCTACAAGTGCAGTACAAGTCCCTCCTCCCCCCCACCTTTAAACCTCAGTATTACAAACAGCATGAAATTCTTTCCCCAAGAAGATGTGAAATGAATTGACCACTCAGATATACCACTTCTCAGCATGGAGGTTCATCGTCAAGAGACCATTCGATCACGGCTGTTCTCCATCTCTCTAGTACAGATTTATTTCTTTTCACACAAAGGTCCCATATCATAAGTCTTTATGGAGCAATTTCTAAGCTGAGAAGGACTGAGTTTCAGCAAATCTCTTAAGGGTTTGTGGGTGGGTGTGTCATTAAAGCAAGAAATATTTTTTCTTGCCTGCAAACACCCAAATCATAGCTGTTGTCAATCTCTAATACAGATTTATTTCAGTGACAAAGTCATTTTGTAAGTCCTTCTACAGCAATTTCTAACTGGGAAGGACTGCACTGAGTTTCAGCAAATATCTCGGGGGTTTTCAGGGGTAGAGGGATGTCACTAAAGCAATAAATATTTCTTCTGGCCTGCGGACAAACATTTCTCTTCTACATTTGCGTTCCCACCACTCCAGTCTCATGCTCCCGAGTGTGATCGGATGAAGCAAGCGACAATCGCGCAGTAGAAGCCGTAGTATG